AAAAACAAGGAAGAGAGAGTCAAAGATATATATATAAAAGAAAACATTGTCAAAAAATTTCTCCCCTAGATACAGAGCAAGTCGTCTCTCATAAATCACGCCAGGCGTTCGCCCAAAAAGCTGCCCAGTTCTAATGCCTATAAGAGCCCAGCACTCGTTTTCCTGAGCCACGACCTCAAGAGAAAACGCCAGCTGGAATGACGAGCATGCCGGCCTATACATGTCATCACTGGTCACACTTGGGCAGGGCTTCCAGAGCAAAAAACTACAGAACTTCACCAGACATTGCGCGTTTTTGCATAACTTACCCACACCCGACTCCACTAATTAATTTAGTGACCCTCAGAATTGGCGGTAAATCGGTGTGCCAGTTACCGCGACGGTGCAATAACTATCTTATTATATTTACGGGTGTCGCTGAGTGGGGAAAATCTATTAGAAACGTGAACGGGTTTGGGGTGAACTGTGGGCCTTCGGCGTTTATGCTTCCTCTGTTCAGTCACCCAGCCTCCCTGGTTTCTGCTTGAACTATTGCTGAAATTTTTATTTAGGATGGAAATATTCAAGTTTTATCAACAGACTGGAAGTAAAGACAACAATATAAAACATTTTATTTGTTACCAACTGATTAAGGGGGTGGCTTAAGAAAACTGTTTACTGTTACAGTCAGTTATATCTATATCAGATAGCCTATTACTGCTTTTTGTGACTACATTTAACCAAATAGTGCTATATAAAATTCACCTGCCACTAGATATCACACAAGGGCACCTGCATCTCAGACCAAAACAATGTGGGCAAATAATCTAATAATAAATTCCATGGTTAGGGGTAGAGAATCAGAGATGAGGACATAACACAGACAACAGTTATTTTATGTCATTTTATTTTTCAGTATGTGAAATAATCTTTCCTTATAAACATATAAAGACCATGGAAGCATATTGTCATCCATGACATCTGTACAGTCAATACACAAAGAGAAGGCTGGACTCGTTCAGTGCATTCCACCTACAAATGAATCTTCAGCATTCATGGTTTAATTCTTTTTCAACCAAAACCTTATTCCATATTTGCAGAAAAGCCACATCCTGAAGCTATAACAGTCCATTCTATCCAGTGCTCTGTAGTCCTACAGGGCAGGGCTATCCATATATGACCAATGAAATCCCTTATACACCAGCCGATTCCCTGATTCCTTCAAGAAGCTAGAGTAAAACGTAACAGAACCTTTTCCTTAGCAATGAAAATAAGTTCTTAAAAATAAAAATAAATCTAATTTCTCAAGGCTTTAAAGAGTTTGATGGTTCAATTCATGTTAGACACTTTATAGACAAGAGAAGTTAAGGGCTGACATAAGAATACTTTAGAGATAGGAGCATCTCCATCTGTCATAATGTACACAATCCAGAAACAGATTTTTTATCCATGATGGGCATCACATAGACTTGGTTAAGGATCAGACTTTGAGAAGCAGTGAAGCACCAGGAGAATGAAGATGATAACTACATGTAAACTTTGTTTCCCTCTTTGTGCACTACAGAATAGATTGTTCAGTGTATGTTTGTTATGTTTTTGTTTGCTGTATTATCCTCAGTAACCTGGTTACACATACTGTAATAATTCATGACGACACTGACCCATCCTTCTTCTACAATCCCTGCAGGCAGATGTGAATAAGTACAGAGTACAGCCACATGGAACAATATTAATTATTATAATTTTTTCTGAATGCATTTCTTCTCAGAATTAAAATTCTTATTTCCTCAAAGTTCATACTTATCTCCGAACTTATTTTTCCACATGGTTGCCGTCCCTCTTGTTGAAGTTGTTGTCAGTGTCAAAAACAACAAACAAAAAAAAAAAACAGAAGGGCCAGGAACAAAATAAAGTTGCATTATCCATCATGACCAGTCAAGCAGGAAGATAAGCTGTTCCAGTGGCAGAATCATACATACTTTTACTACGAAACACAATGGCTGTGACTGGACAATGCTGAGATCTCACCTGCACTAACAGTGCTGTGGTTTCCTGTTTTCCCCATTTTTGTTCATGTGAACATTAGTTTTCTCTAAGACCTCAAAGTTTATCCATAGATGATGATTATGATGACAGAGGTTCAATCAGAGCAGCTCGGCTTCAGCTCGGCTTCAGAGGTGTTTATTCTTTGGACACATCTACCTGGGCTAACTATCCAAACAAAAGCCTTCTGTTTGTTATCACCTGTAACAAAACTGATGTTGTAGCAGCTTTGTAAAAATGAAACTTAAAAATGGATTAAAAAAAACATTTTCTAGGAGATTTCTGTCTAAGGCCATTTGTCTGTGATTGGTTAATTGTGAAACAGAGGTAGTGGACAGATGAAAGATCAGAACAACACTAGAGCATGGTCCTCTCTCTGCATGTGTTCTCAGGGCTAGCATGATAAACAAGGGAAACAGCTGAAAACACTAGCTGTGCAGGCAACTGGGGTTATGCAGTCAGTTGTGACCTCAACAGCAGAAAGAGCCAGGCCACTATTTGAACAGGACTGCATTAGAGACAGGCCTGTATTACCTTCAATTTGGTCCTATTGAACCGAAATCACAAAAATCCACATTCTTTGGAAAAGTTTTTGCAAAGTGCCTTCATCATGTTGAGTTTTGTCCATTTCTGTTGTCCAGTTCATCTTTGGTAGTGCCCCACCGCCCATGTCCCTTCAACTGTAGTTATTCCTTCTTCATGAAGCTAGTTAAGTCTGAATTATCATGTGCATGTCAGTGTAAACACACAGCCTTGACCTGCAGATTCCATAGCATATAGACTATTGATCTCTCCATCTCTTTTCCAAGAAAACCAAGTGTTTCGACAGTCAGGCACTGCTGGGATCCCTCTTGATGTTATGGAGAGAATAGTGTCCTGTGGTGTCTAGATGTAGTCATCGTCCACAGGTTCTCCTGGTGTATCACAGTGATGGAGGAAGAGGACCACCACTCTCTGAAACACTCCTCTTTTGCTCTGTCTGCGCTCTGAGATCTCCTCCCCGATGGTCTCCATGCAGATGTCTGCTGAGAGCTGGCCTTTACGCCGCGGGGCGTAGATGGTGGCTAACGTGACAAAACAGAGAGGAAAACCTTTTGAGTGTTTTTATCTTTTAGCCATCTTCAAAATATATACAAGACAAGTACTTACACATTCGTTCCATCATTTCTGTTACACATTAAAACAAAATACCTCATATAAATTATTAAAATAATCTCAACAATCAGACTTTTTGTACATACATGCATAGGCTACACTCATTCTCACCTTTTCCCTTCCTAAATAAACACAAATACACATGCACCCAGCAGACACCTCACCCGGCACCCAACACATTCAACAAAGCCGCCATTCCCATCTCAGAGTGTGGCAACTTCTTTAGCCTAGCACAAAGCATAGGGGGCAGCTGTTGTGCAGTGGCAGAGCGGGTCGTCCCCTAATCGGAAGGTTGTTGGTTCGATCCCCGGCTTCTCCTGCCCATGTCAAAGTATCCTTAAGCAAGATACTGAACCCCAAATTGCTCCCGGTGCTGTGCATCTGTGTGTGAATGTGTATGGATGAGTTAGTTTCTGTTT